GGACGCCGCCTTTCCCGTGGGGTACCAACTAATATTTTTGGAGTCAGTCAAACCCCCCGATCCGGGCCTCTACTCAGGTCTATCCTCTTTGGGCCTAACCTAATTAATCGAGATACGCGGTAGCATATCGGCCAAGAAAAGTTTTGACCGACTGAGCAAAACAGAGCGCACCGCGTATCTATACACGACAGAACACTTCCCCCTCCACTACCTCTAAATGATTTACATTCAGTATAATGAAAACGGGACGACAAATCGGGAAAGTGTCGTTAGTTACATTATATAAATCGCCTATGAGCTTTTCAACGGAGTAACTATAGTATTTTTTGGATTAACAGTAAAAAAGATACGAGCATAGCAACGGGTTGATCGAGATTATTCACATTCTCGCGATNGCGGACCTCGGACATAAAGGTAGTTTATGCACAGTTTGTGAGGTTATCGGTTTATGTTTGGAATGTGACAAAAGTGAGATGTGTCGAAAATATTGTGTGATCAAGTATTAAATGTCCGTGAATAGTTAAAGTCGAAAAAAAAATATTTATTTTTCTCCGAGTGTAACAGAAAATGTTTTCATTCCGTGGAATAAAATTCTCTAAATTAAGGGTATTATGGCGGGATCCATAGCTGGAAAAAAAAGCAGAGAATTCAATGAAAATTGCTGAATACATTGTTCGATCCATTTGAAAGCCGTGTACAAAATGTCAAAACCCCCAGCTAAATAATAATGGGAATAATGTTTGAAGTTGCTACTTATACAAGCAGTTGAATGGGGCATCGGTAATTTTTGTGAATTTCCTACGTTATCGATAGATCAATAACGTAGGAAAAGCACTAAAATTACCGATGCCCCATTCAACCGCGTGTATAAGTAGCAACTTCAAAAATTATTCCCATTATTTTTGTTTATGTAGGGGTCTTGACATTTTGCACACAGCTTTCAAATGGATCGAATAATCTGTTCAGCAATTTTCATTGAATTCTCTAATTTTTTTTCCAGCTATGGACCCCGTCATAATACCCTTAAGTGACAGTGAAATGCGAACAATTTTGTGATTATTTAGGAAAAATTAGTAGAAGACGGTGGGATTAAATGGACACTTTGGACCCTTTTCAAAATGTTGATGTCTTATTGAAGTGTTGATGAAATAGAATTAAAAAAAAATTAAAGTACAGTCAGCCCCTTTGTAATGAGCTTAGACTGAGCTCAATCGATAAATTTGTTCCTTGGTTATAAATATTGAAACAAGAAGTCAGAAGAGTCCATTCCACCCAATGTTTCCCTTATATTTTCAAAAACAAAAAAAAACAAAAACAGATGTTTTCAAAAAGAATTCTTTGTGAACATTTTGTTCGACTATTCCTATAAGGAAATCAATTCATCTCTCCAAGAAATACAATCCACATAGGAATCATTAGAGCAAAAATTGAATGAGGAACCAAATCAAGTCAGAAAATTATTAATAGATGATTAAAAATTGAAATTCGGTGGAGACAATAAATCTAGAGTAGGATTGTTTATTTCCCTTCAATTATTCATTCAAAAAATGTTCTATCCTATGAAAAATGAATGAGTTAAATTGAATTGAAAAGAACAAATTTCACCGGATGTAAAAACAGTCCTTGCTTGGGAAGTCGAAATTTTTGAAAAATACATAGAAATGAAAAAGGAAGCCAAGTCAGGAATTTTGAATAAATGGTGATAGTACACAATCAGATTCCTATAACAAAAATAGTTCTCAATGCAATAACTATTCTAAAAAAATTCTCCATGAAATAAAAAATCAGTAGGAGCAGGACCAGCGTTCTTGGCGTGGAGTTTTTCAACTCACTGTCTGTATCAATCTAATCCTCCATCCTTTGATCCGCGACACGGATGTTGGTCCTGCTCCTACTGATTTTTTTTTTCATGGAGAATTTTTTTAGAATACTTATTCCATTGAGAACTATTTTTCTTATAGAAACCTGATTGTGCACTATCGCCATTTATTCAAAATTCCTGACTTGGCTTCCTTTTTTATTTCTATTGAATTATAATCAATTGAATTATAACACGAATAGAACATTATTATTCTCATCAGTACTCGCAATAATAAAATTGTAAATTTAAAAAAATATTCAACAGAAAACAATTTTTTTGCATGAATGGTGTTAAACAGTCATTTTTCAACGGTTTCATTTTGCTCCACTCTCCCTTAGCTCTTTTATTACACTCCAAAAACGTAGGAACGACAACCTTATTAACGGTACAAGTGCGTAAATTTCGTTTTTGGCAAGTCCGGAGTTTGTAATCACGTTAGTCAAGAAGGAAAGTAACACACGAGTGACGCTTCTTATTTTACATTATGACGTGGATTAAATGGTGTTCAATACAAGCGCAGCAGAACGGAGTAATGTAAAAAAGTATTAACAAATAAAAGTCGTCTCTGCCATAGAAACCAATGCTTTTGCGATACCTGTTTAAAAGATTCACTTTTCGGGACAGTTTAGTCTGCGTAAAGTTCAGGAGTCGTGGGGGAAAAGTGAATTTTGGGTGCATTAAGTGAAGATCTTACATTGCTGCCCCGAACAGTGAACCCAGTAATTATCACAAAAAATCGTATATATTACTCGTTCGTCTGGAAAAATGCAACTTTACGTACTTGAAATACAGTATACTATTACACGTCTTTGTACGCCGCAAAGGTGGTAACATTACTATCAAACCCTATAATCTTTGCCATTTCGATGAAACGATACGTGTTTGTTCTAGTTATAGGAACAATTTCTGTCTCGTTATTGTCCCTTCAACTGCAACAAACACATGAGAATGGTCTAGCCACTTTTACGGTACATACTACAATTAATGAAAAATTTGAAACCAAAATCACTAATCCAAAAATATCAATAACACTTGGATCTCCACAAAGTGGGAAAAAATATTCTAAAAACATACCTGAAGGTGCACTTATATTGCTTCCCGGTTCCTTCTTATTAAGTTTCAATCTAGATTTCTTAAATTTCCCTCTTCTTTTATTAGGTGTAGGTGTGCTCTGCTGTTGGATCATCATCACAGTTATTTCACGTTCAAGCAGATCAATTTCTCGAGCTGCCAATTCCTCCTCACGCTGCCTCAGATTTTCCTCTTGCTGTCTCTGTTGTACCTGGGCCTTTGTCAGTTCTTCTTCTCTGCAGCGCAGTTCCTACATTCAATAAAAACCGTCAATGTCGACGAAAGAAAAACTGAAAATCAGAATACTATAATGTCAGTTAATCTGTACGGTTCACAAAGGAACAAATTTCACCCCCCTTACTGAAATCAGTAACAAATCCTGGTGTAACCAGTCTCAAGATATGTCTGGTTACTATGCAATTGTCGCGAAATTCACTGATTTCATGGAGAAAGGTCTTTCTTATTGCCGAGAAGAATTGTTTTTTCGATTCCGCATTCCCGATGGTTATATTTCTAACAATCCTGTTCAATCTTCGACGGAAAAGAATAGAATTTCTTCAACCACTCAATAATTTTCGAGGTTGTAAAAAAATTAGACAACAAAGGAATTTTGGAAAAAAAAAACGTGAACGAATTTCCTTTCTTGTTGAAAACATTTCCTACAAAATCGACTTCTTGACATTGAATCATCCATTATCGAGGTAATTCCCAACCGGGATAGATGAGATTAGTAAACTTGTTACGTTACATAGAGTCAGTATAGAATTTTCATCATTAATTTCACATATCTAAGTTTAAAGCCGATCTTACCTCTTCGAATGAACGACATGCCTTTTGTACAGCAATAAAGAAAAAGAATATGATAAATAACATGTGCATGCTATGACTATTATTAGAATATAATCGCATGATTTTCAATTTTCAGTGATTTTTGAAGCAGTAACTATTGGACATATTCATTCTACTTGAAGATAAGTTTATGCCATATCTGAAAATCTAAAGGACATAGGGCTATTCTTGTTACTTCCATTCTGTTCTACTCAAAATGCCTTTACAATATTCATCTGGAATTCGCCTTAATGCTCGACTGATTTATCTTGTTTTATAAAATCATTACATCAATTTTTTTTTATCGGCATAATCATCATTTTCCTTATCTTTTTCATTCATGTAAAAAAAAAACAATTCTACAAATTACTTTGAAATTATCTCCGAAACTAGAAGGTTTCACTGAAAATATAAAAAAATCGATTTCAAGTTATAAACGTCTCCTCAAAACTAATCTCTTTTAACACTTCTTTCTTTTAGAGGTATAATAGAATAATGTGCGAATTCGTTTTTAACTCATCCTCCCTTCATCACTTCACATGTCTAATCAATCAGTAATCAATCATGAGTTACAGTTAGTAGCATTTTCAGATGGTTTAGTTTTTTTCAAAGAAACACATCGTTACAAAATACATTCATGTTCATCACTCAAGAGAGTGAATCAATATTTTTCATTACCTTTTCTTTCATGCGCAACCCATGAAGAACTTCTTCGATCTCTAGCCTCCAATCCTCCTGCATCGTGTGGAAGGACTCATGGGGAGTGGCAGCAAAAGCGCTCCTAACATCATCAAGTCCCTCTAGGATTTCTGTGAAATCTGGTCGACTGTGGCTATCACAAGACCAACAAGCCTGCATTAAATATTTCCAAGGTTGAGGACACGTCGAAGGAATAGGCAGCGTCAGTTTGTTGACTGCAACACCGTAGGCTACAGCAAGTGCATCGATGCCTTTATATGGTGTTTCACCAGTCAAAAGCTCCCAGAGGAGAACTCCATAACTGAAACATGCAATAAACTGATTAATATCTGTCATTCGTTTGACTGTATTCAATAGAATCGTCAAATGTTTTCTAAAATTCTTTTCAATCATTTTTGTAGTCACGTGTTAAAAATTAGTTTTACCTCCAAACATCACTTGCCGTACTGAAAGTACTTTGTTTGATAACTTCTGGGGCCATCCATGCATAGGTTCCCGCTGCAGACATCCTCGTAGTCTTATCAACTTCTCTTGCAAGGCCAAAATCAGTGATTTTCAAAGTTTTACGCTGAAGATCATCATTTTCAATCGGCTCACTCAATAAAACGTTGGAACTTTTCAAATCCCTGTGGATGAGTCGAATGGGTCCCTCATTGTGGAGGTAGTTCATGCCTCGGGCGATCTGAATTGCCCAATCGACCAAGACGTCAGGGGGAATTTTGCGACCACTGAGGACTCTATTTAGACTGCCACCTCGTGCATATTCCATAACGAGGCACATGTTGGGGATTTTTAGAGAGACTCCTTCCAGTTGCACAATATTTTCGTGTTTCAAAAGCCAGAAGAGCTTTGCTTCTTGAAGAACGTTCTCTAGGGTGACACTCGGCTCTTCGTCGGGGTCTTGACGTGCTGCTTTTACTGCTACCTCTTTTTTTCTCCAGTATCCCCTAAAAAATTGTTCAATTAGAGGGATAATTAAGGAATTAGATTAGCAATGAATCTGAATCAGTAATGAATATGACAAAGTTGATTCAAATATTGAACTTGAGAGGAGAAGAGACTTTTGTTGTATAAATTTTCTCAACTACAAAAACAGTCTGAAGAAATTGAGGAAATAACATCGATAACCAGCTATCAAGGCATTCATTTTACTATTTTGGAAAGTATTCATGAATACTGAAAACGTTGAGAGAACAAATATTAGAGATTTTTTGCTCTACTAAATTTTGGAAGGAAAAAGAATGGGAACAATGTTTGTAAAACTCTTGATTATCAACGTATTTGTAACATAATTCGTAAACCGATCCACGACGAATATCATCTATAAGCCAGAATATTATCCTCCATCTAATGATCGGAAGATCCCATTAAATTAATGAACCAAAGTGAAGAGATGAATTTTACCTGTAAACTTTCCCAAATCCTCCAACTCCAATAACTTCCTCCAACTGCAACTCCTGGAAATCGATCTCCGTCGGTTGTACATGATCAAATATCGATATTCGATCAGTTTCAATAACAAAATTAGCCGGAAAAATGCCAACTTTTCCACCAATTTTGCCAGTCCACCAGCCCTCATCACCAGATATTTTTGAATCCTTTGATAGCACTTCAACTTGTTCACCAGGTTCAAGTGTCAATTCATCCTCACTCTGTGCAATGTATTTCCACATTACTGTGACAATCACCGAACATTTTTCTTGCCTCGAGTGGGATGACGAGTGGGTCGCGTGTGAAGGACTTGTCTGTTGAGACACAGTCCTTGCTGTACCACCACTGTGTGTATCTGACATGCTGCTGTCAGACATGTTGTTTGATGATGCACGATCATACGAATAACCGTAGCTGAAAGCAAACAAATTATATACATCAGTCGTTGTATTGTAATGAAATAAAAAAGTAAATGATGTTTAATTAGTGCAGTAGGGGAATATAATTTTCAAGGTTATTCTCTAGAAGTTGAGTAATTTTGGGAGTGAATTTTAAGAGATCTTTTTTGTAGGGAAGGAAATACTTTTCAGAATAAAAAAGATCCGCTGACAACTTTTGAAGTTGAATATTACTGATTCAACAACTCAACAAGTAATTACGATTTACATCAACTCAAATGCTTCAACAATTTGTCAACTGAATTATTTAATCAAAAAATTATCAATTGAAAATTGAACTTTAGATGTGAATTTTCGATTGATACCGCACTTATCGCGTTTCATTCCACCAGCGAATTGGTAAAATAAGATGAGGTACTTCGAATTTGATTTTGGATGAACATTGGAAAGGAGATAACGCGATTTTTCGAAGAACCAATTTTTTATCTATCACTCTACTATTGAGAAGAGGTCCTTATCAAGCGAGGTCTCTTTTTGCCGATTTTAAGATACCCATCGAAAATCCATGTTGGAGATAAATCGACTTATCTTGTCTCTCAACTTGGCGACCGATTCCATTATATTATATGGTATGCTTTAATTCAAAATAACTGAAAGCATGTTGATTGATATTCAAAATTAGGAGGTGAACGATCAACTCATCAAGTTCGTTCAATTTCAAAGAGCAACTATCTATCTCTCAAACATTAAAATGTTCAATATTTCGATCAATAAGGTAAAAGAACTCTGAATACTTGTGGATTTAACAAACATCAGAATCATTCATTCAACAACTAAGTAAATTCTCCAGTTGTTGATGAGATAGAATGATTGGTCAAGAAGATCAATTAAGCATTCAAAATCTCTAATACTTTGGTTGCTAGAATCCAAATCATGGGATGTTTAACTTATTTATATGGACTATATGAACAGTATGAATTGATGGTTTTACATTGAATATAATAAACGTCGCAATTTACCAACAATCAAATTGATAAATATTTCCATGAAGTGACTATGTGACTTACCGTCAAAGTAAAAACTTCAAACCAATAATTTCGTAAAGTAAAACAGGTGTTCTTGAGAAAAAAATCTTGCATCTCAGTAAATCATGTTATGAAGGATAATCATATCATTAAAAAAAATGGTTTGAAATTTCAGATCTTATGGTGGTAAGTCATAAAGACGGCATATCGAATGGAGAAAAAATGCTAAATTCTACTCATTTTGCCCCACATTTGAATTTTCGTTATTTTAAAATGTTCATTAAACTCCGAAGAAGAATGAAATCGAGTATCAATTTCCCGTTGTCTAGGTACGTTCGATTTTTAAGATATTATTATGCGTGAACGAGTAGAACAAGTGGATCGCAAAAATTAATTTCCTCATGAACATTATATATAACACAAAACGAATATATAATTTTGAATGATTTCGAATGGAAATTGTGATCTACGGATAAAAAACTGAAGATAAGCAAAATCTATTGGGTCCAAATTTTTCAATATACTCTTTGATATGTTCCATCATGTATGATTAGTCACTCAATTCAACAAATACTTTACAATTTCAAATGAATTGAAGTTCTTCATTAATAATTTCCTCTAGTGTCCGATAAAGATGATGTATGTAAGTCAGTAGAAAAATGTAATTTTGCCAAGAGACCTTTTTGTAAAAAATTTAAATCGCTAAAAAAATTCCTTAATGAATTGCCCCAAATTCACGCATTCTTTTAACATCCGCCTAATATTACAATGCTCAATATTTCAATGGAAAGAACATGAGAAATCGATAAACTTTTATTTCAATCCAGCCACTAAGAGTGGGCAAATAAAAATTATCATTTATTTTATTCAGTAGCCTTTTGGTACAAAAAAGTTTTCCAGTAGTAAATCCCCATCAACCAATCTTTACATTCCCCATTTTCCAAATAATTCCCTTGAACTCTGCATTGAATCAAAAGAACAGCATGATTCAGATGATATGGTTCTTGCCATTAATGTTATAATTGTTTTTGGAATGAGTGATTTTGAAACGAAATGCCATGCAACATTGTCAATGTCATTGGTAAAAGAGTCATTTCGTCTTAAACCGCTTTGTGCCTCAGATCATCACCTAATTAACAAAACATTGAAATTTACAACACATTTTTATGAATTCAGTAGCGAAGTGGTAAAACGGTACAAGTTAATTTTGGCTATTGGGCAGTTTTCAATGAATATCTTGGGATCTAAGGGAGATAGCAAAATCTTTGTTATAACCTTTTTTGTAGAGGCGATTAAGAGCTTCAAAAAATGTAATTACGAAAATTTCGCTATTTCCCTCAAATTTGGAAATATTCCTCAAAAACTCAACTGGGAGATAAGTCGACTTAAACCGTTTTACCACTTCGCTACTGAATTAATAAACCATTTTAATAGAGAAGACTCTCACAGAAATCATACAAAGGTTGTTCTGTACACTGTTAAAAATTTTTGTCTGAATATTCCGTGCCAAATTCCGGAAATTTTTATCATGTTCAAGTTCCACTGAAATTTCCAGAAATCTTGTCATTGAAAATTCAGACTTTCGTGGAAAAATCAAACAGAACTGTAAATTTCTGTTCCATTTTCCTCTGAAAATGCATAGAAAAACAAAAATTCCGGTAAATATATTATTGAATTTTCAGGACAGTGACACTGAATGCGATTTAGGGGGAAAAAATCATGAAATTTCAGATTTCACTGAAAATTCAATGTAATTGGACACTGAATATTCCTATTAGATTGGACATTCAAATAAATTAAGGAATTCTCGTTTTTATGCCGCTCAAAATTCTAAAATTTCACTGAATTTTCAGTGAAACGGGAAATTTCATGATTTTTTCTCCCAAAATCACATTCAGTGTTACTGTCCTAAAATTTGATAGTCAATTGTTTATGAAATTTCGTTTTTTTCTAACAGTGTAGGGTCAGATTGCTCCACAAGGAATGTTTTCTGACATTTTGCTCCGACATCACTTGTTCTGGAGAAAATGACAAGCTTGAATTGAATCGTCATGTTGGACTATAATTCAGGCTTTCCTTACAGAATTATCCGACCGGCTTATTTTTTTATTGACAATCAACTGGTTCACAGTAATTACTCACGTAGGGTCCCTATTATGAGCGTTATGATATCTCGGTGAAGAGGCAGCTGTACTCGGTGTATTCGGTTGCGAGCCCCCATTCTCGGGATGCAGGAGAAATCGCTCGCTCCGATGACGAGCATCGGGTTGTCCGTGGTCCATCAAGGTAGGCAAGCCTTTAGCCGATAGCCCGGCTGGCGGCATATGTCTGACACTTCTGCAACAGCCTAACTTATGACCCTATTCCCCTTGCTACCTTCACCTTATCAATAAAATTGTCACTCCACTCGTTTTTACCATGTCTCTCCTGAGAAAATCCCCAGAAGACCTACCACAATAACACCATCATCTTCAGGAAGATTCTAATTACAAATGAATTATTCGAACCCAATTTGCACAAGTCTAGGTAAAAATCGTAATCTGGTAACATCATTACAATTATTAGTGTTTCATCCTTCATTTAACTGTCTTGATGAATCTTTTCAGTGGTTTGTAAACCCTTTTGGAAGGGTTCACCCTGACTCAAGTGTTGTGAAATTCCCTCACGACACTAAAGAATAATCTGCGTCAACAACAAAATCATCAAGAATAATTGTACAATAATTGTACAATTTAATTGTTTCTTGTACTACAAATGCTTTCATAAGTCCACAAAAGTTCACTCACAGATTCTGATAACTCCAGAACATCTCCCAATCTCAATTATCGACAAACCGGTAGCACAATTATTTCTTGAACCCTTCCACGAGGTTCTCCGCCCTCACTCTGTCGACACACGTCAACAATCAACCCCATTAAACCCACATAAACTTGTGTAAATGAATTGACACGGCCTTCCCAGCAGGGTGTGTTATATTCTTGACAAGAGAAAAAGTTAATGTGGGAAAGAATTGATGAACGAAAAAAAAGGAACTAGTGAAGGCCCGAGTAAAACCACTGTTTACGATGCCGTTTGCACGCGGATCACTGGGGGTTACGAGCGAGTGTGTTAGGGTGAGTGGTTATCAGAGCGGCGACGATGTCTCTCCGAAAACGCGACGTTTCCCATCAGACAATCGCTGATGAAAATAATCTGCATAAACTCGGGAACCAATGATTATTGACTGTCCGACACTTCACGGTGATAACCTAGCTGACGCCATATTTGATTTTCACCAGATTTGACACGGGCCCCACCACAGCCGTGAGGCTTCCCCCTCTTGCTGTGTCTTTGTTGCATCTAGCTTGAAAATCATTAGAGGAAGAGAGATGGAGGATTGAATGTATAGTAAAGTCCAGTTTTTATGTAAATGTTATTCGACTTTTTATTATTATTAGCTGCTAATTGTCATCATGTTTGTGTTGTTTGGAGATTGGGAGGGATTCTCAATCATGTTCTGTCGAACCTTACATTTAGAATGTTATAAATTGATGCGCAAATAAAATTATCTGCATATTTAGTATGGAAGAGGGAGGGGGGGGGGGTTAATGTGCAAGGACTTATTTTCTAGAGAGAATATGAAAAGATGTCTCTTCATAATCCCTAATGCTGAGATCGTTCGTCACTGAGCCTCACTATTAGAAGTCTCTGACACTTAGAGATTGGCTTATTTACCTACTATAATTCAGGATTTTTTCTTCAGAATGAAATTTGTTATACAAGATCTTGAGGTAATAGTCCTAGAATCAATCTAAAAATTTTCAAATTATACTTTTACCACACGAGTGAATGTAGTAAAGAAGTAGAAAAATCCTGAATGAACTTACAAAACGTTTGATGGAATTAATCACAAGATCTTTACTGTTGAATATTTCATTCCCTTGGGAACCAAGATCTCCTGAAATTTTCCCTCTAAACCCATAATTTTCAATCCATATTAATCTCTGACTTGACAAAAAATTTATCAACAGTTGCGTATGATTGGAAATTTACTTTGTTACAATAGAGACCGTAGAAATGCTTGCAAAACCATCTTCTTAAAATTTTGGAATTGATGTCCTGCTCTTTGTAGTACTACATTGACGGAATAAATTAATAAAAAATAATTGTAAGTTATTAGAAATTTTATTTTGTTAAGAGCTTACAAGAAAACAAAGAAACCATAAAAATAAAGTATGAGAATTCAGTGAAGGAAAAGTTATACAATCATCTCGAGTTCCCTGGCGTAGTCAATTGCAAGGGTCACGAGATCGGCAGATGGTATGGGATCCTCTGTCTTCTTCTCGTGGGTTGGACCGAAGTAGAAGTAGCCATCTTTGGCGAGCTTCCACTGCTTTTTAGTGGCGAACGCTAGAGTGTCTTGTTCGGAATTGAGATTGAGCATTCTTGCTGCATCCTTGAGAGAAACTTTGTCGTAGGCACTCTCCATACAAGCGCCAATTTCATCGCGTACAGTGTTGAGGAGAATATCGATGAAGAAGGTGTAAGAAGCTGCAGGGACGTTTCCTTTAGCTAAAAAGATCTTGTTGTAGGATCCCTCCATGAGACACTGTTCGAGACTCAGAGGATGTCTGATGTAGACATTCGATTGGATTTGATCAGAGGGTAGGAGTTCCAGTTCTGTGTGGAATTCCGCTACTCTATTCTGTGAGAGGAGGAACAAGAGGTTCAAACCCAAAAGTTGATACTTGTAGGCCGACTCAGGGAGGGCTGATTTGTAGTCAAAGTAGTAGCATTTCAATTGAGCCATGTAACGCTCGAAGGAGGGAATGTCCTCCGCTGCGATGCTCCATTGTGCTCCGATCTCCAGAATATCTCCTAGTTTAAAAATAGTTTGAGGTGTCATTGACGGAGAAAAAGGCTCATTGATGTGTACGGTTACATGACTATTCATCACCCGACAATCCATCACACGACAACTCAACACAGTGCCTCCAGTTCCCAATGGGTCTCCACCTTTCTTACTAAGTTGGGACTAGGTTGCCAGTTTGTGAATTTAAACTCTTTGGTACAACACAATGTAATAATATGGTTGACCAGGTAGATGACCGGGACCTCCCTTTTTCTCCACCTTTCCTTCTAAAGGCAATTAATTTTTAAAAAATTAATTTAAATATAAGTACTTCTATAAATTCACGAGCATGGTAAGGCAATTAAATTTCACACCTTACCAGCTCTTGGCGTTACCCAGGACCCATGACGAGGACGTGGCTGGCATCGGATCCCAAAAAGGACCACAATATAATTTCTGTGTTGACTTTGACTTATGGTGTTATTGTACTGAGTTGTTTTTGTACGGTGTTATTTAGTCATGTCGCCATGTCTACATATAATGTCTATGAAGTTATACTCTTTTATTTATCTCTATATGAAATTTATAATCTCATTTAAAAGAAGAAGATGGGAGGTGAAAAGGCTGGTGAAGATGTAAAACAAAGAAAGCTTTCGTGACATCAAAGAAATAAATGAATTGAATTGAAAATCCCTCGTTTACGAATTAAAGATTAAACTGACAAAATTAGTAGAATTGATTAACTCAAGTATTTGAAGGATCACTCCAGAAGAAGCAATATTTTTTTTTATTAAAGCAACAGAAAAATATTGAGGGATCTTCTTACGTGTAAGAGGAAATGGAAGGAAAAAGTTAAATTATCATTTTTTTCTTAAGCATGTCTATTACCGAGATAACACGACTCTTTCCAAGTTGAATTCAGAATTGGTCATTCAGATAAGTTGTACAGATTGAAACTAGTCTATTACTTCATTCGCAGTGAAAATCACTTACGTGCAATGAGAAGTTCCTTCTGTGATGCCGCACTGTTTGATGTTGGTAGAAACATTAAATGAGTAAGGCCCACCTATGGACATAAAAATGAAACAGGTGACTATTTATTCAATGATTTTGTGTGATTCTCATGGGCTATTTTCACCCCATTATGAACAAATTATTCGTAATGGTAGAATGATGACAAACAAATTTGAGCCTAACAAGTGAGGTTAGGATTCTATTTTTATAAATTGTTAGGAAACAATTATTACCTTTAATTGATTGAGTAAATCACCACATTTCTTAAGATTACTAGGGGTCTTTGTCCACTCCTGCTTCAAATTCTGGTACAGCGTTACAATTTGATTGAGAGCTGTCATTTTTATTCTGTTTGTGATGAGGTTAGGTGAATAATAATGAGCCCAAATGGGTGGCGACAAGTTGAACCCATTGGGGACGCTTAATAACAAGACGCCCTCTATGAATGTCTGCGTATGGGTGCACATCTACGATACGCAAGCAAATGGGGGCTTGTCTGAACGCGTGTGTGTATACCTCTTTGACGTTTCGTTTGTACTTCACAGTTGCCCCGTCTCACAGTTGCCCAAGATTCAGGGAGACATGAGATGGCACAACTGTCCGGAAATTCAGTTATCCAAAAGTATATTTGCCCAATAAGAACAGTTGCCCGGGAGACTTGCAGTCAGTCAAGTAATGTCGGCAAGGTAGAGGTCCCGTAGTTATTATTCGCGATCGGTCATAATTTTTATTGTCTTTTCACATCAAAAGATGGCAGTATTCATTTTAAATTTTCATCGAACCGGGATTCTCAACTCATACGAGTGAGTATTTTCGCACACATTACATTGAATGCACAAATAGTCCTATCAGAGGCACTATGGAATGCGGTGAATGAAATTGAATGTTAAAAATACAATCCAATCTTATTAAACAATATTTTTTACATTTTATAGGAAGATGCTATTTGAAAATTGATTTTTTCTCCATTATTTACGCAGGGATATGCGTATACCTATAAAAAATACAATTGAATTATCATACAATCCAAATAAATATATCAACTATTTCTTTGTTGATTACGACAATTAACAAAAGAGATTATCTCATCAATTTAAGTTTATATATATTTGTTTCTCATTTAATTGTATTATATACATGAACTTGTCCAGATCCTTAGATAGCTATCCTTCAGTGTCAGCTAGTGACTTACATGTCACCCCGTTACTACATCCTTTTTGTGAATCATATATGGACAGTCTTGTACAAATCCCTGCTGGATTAGATACTTGAAAACATCCACATCATGACTAAACGTCTCGTCAACAGTGCTATTGTTGCATACTTCTACTGAAAAAAAAAGGTTATAAATTATGGTAATTGTCAGAGAATGAGGTGAACAGTTATATTTATATCGAAAATTAAAATCGAAATAACACCTCTTGTCGAGACCACTCCAGTACATTGTCTTTTCCCTTTTGAGTTCGACGCTGATTTTGAACGGTTGTGCCTCTCGGTATTCTTCGATGCACGTGAACGTTTCTTCTTTACTGAAATTTAAGAATAACATTAAAGTAGTGTTATTTCCCAGTTACGATTGGGCACACAAAATTGTGCATATAACTGCAAGCCCTTGTCGTGGTAGCCAGCTGCAATTTTTTACATCAACTTGCAACGAATTTTATTGAAAATAAATGACGGTATGACAGATTCTATGACAAGAGCATAGATTCAAGTTTAAAAGATCAGCGACTTCTACTTATTTTGATATTATAATATTCTTTCATTGCAGGTAAAAAGTTGCATCTATCAAGGTTCCAGTAAAATTAGATGAAGAACAACAAATTTAGATTAACACTTTTTTTTCGAAGCAAATTTAACAGACAGCCCGGAATTATTCTAGTTACGACAATTACATCCAATAGTACATAATGACACCTAGTGTCATAATATATCGCCATGTGCCATACGATATTTTATGTAATTGTCAATTTGGTCCGTTAGATCGTGGTTTTCGGGCACAATCACATAAAATATTTTTCCTTTAAAGCATCAACTGCCATTTCAATTTTAACAATGTTGAAAAATCATTCCTAGTCATTTCCCTCCATACTCTTCTTCATCGTTTTGTGCCAATCTTATTGATATATCATGAAACCCGCCGTCGGAATAAAGCTTCGATATTCAGGATCATGATCGGATAATTAGGTGTTGATGTGAGAAAACCTGGTACAATGTGATGCTTTTTTTCTACATGATGAACCATAATGATATTAACTTTATTATAAGAAAACAAGTAAATAGCGTATAATGATAAATTTCATCTCTTCATAAACTCTGACATAGTTTTTATCAGTGACCAGCACGTGTTCACTTTTGGATATTTTTTGGGATCAATTGCAACCCGTTAAATTCGAACAATGACTGTTCATCAGAAGATGAATCGACTTCCATGTCTGAGTAGTCTTCATTGAGGGAACTTTGCGACAGATACTCCATATTATTACATTCAGCATCATATGCACTCGTCGATGGCAACTCTAACTCAGAAAATTCATCATTCCTTTTCTCATAATGAATTGTGGAATGTAATGAAGGGTCTGCTACTGCACCTATTGAAATATTAGATAATTAGTAAATGATTAATCCCGTCGATGCAACTTCCTAGTAACGTATGAAGAATATTGAACTGAACTTACTGTTCAGACGTGTTCTCTTCAATCGTACGAAATTCAGTGGTCGTTTCNTGTAATGAAGGTTCTGCTACTGCACCTATTGAAATATTAGATAATTAGTAAATGATTAATCCCGTCGATGCAACTTCCTAGTAACGTCTGAAGAATATTGAACTGAACTTACTGTTCAGACGTGTTCTCTTCAATCGTACGAAATTCAGTGGTCGTTTCTCATTATTATTTCGCTGATCTGCTCTATCAGATCCATTCCCAATATCCGTCATTTTTACCAAGGCTTTCACTAACGAAGGACGCAGGCACTTCAGGAAGAAGCTTGGCACTGGCGCTCTGGAATATATAACCAATGCTTTTAGAACAGTGAGATAATCATTTCCTACCCACGAATATTCTTCTGAGAATACTACAAAGATGAAATTTCTCTTGTGATTTTTTATTGAGTTGCATATTAGATAAAAACATTTTTCAAACGTTTGTAGTTGATCATCCCCTGTAGTTCTATGTAATTATTCAAACAGAAACACTCCAGAGCAGGGCTTTGACGTGATTATTCATTGCACTTGAAAACAATTCTCTCACGGAATAAATTATATGCAAGTAATGAATTTTTACCTCCCAGTCCGGCACTCTCTGTCTGCAATACGGTAAATGTTCATGTCCAGGCTTGTTATGTAAGGACTGGTTCTGTCTTTGTCTACACATTTTTCCTTCGTCGAAAAGACCACCATCAGTTCTTTTTCTGCCCTCAACGTCTCATCTAATTGACCTACGAATTGAATCAACCAAAGAGAGTACTGAGATGTCAGCATAATTGAATTATTATCAACAAGTGTAATCCAAATTTCAAAAAGGTTTACCAGCCAGTTTTTCAACGTTCTGCTTCTCGCTTCCAATTGTAGCAGCCACGAACCGGGTAAGAGCTTCTGTTCTTTGATCCAGTTGAAGTCTTTCGAGGGGTGTTACCAGGGTTCTCATGCACAGCGGCCAACCTTCTTTGAAGAAATGGAAAAAGATTGCCAGTTGTGGAAACTCGGGAATTTGCTCAGCCACTTTACTAGTCATAAATTCGAGTCCATCTTTGTACTTTTCTTCTGTACATAGACCTAGAGTCCATGAGTATTGAAGGCTCTCAATGGGAGCATTTCCCAAGCCACTTCTCACCCATAAATCACTGAAATACTGTAAAAATGGTCGGAAAAAATTATTTAAAGAAATCAAGCGTACGGAAAACTTCTTGAAAACATTCCCATACCCTCACAAAGTCGAGCCACAGTATCCTGGTAACAACACTTGGAAGGACGGCGCGTACAGCTGGAGCAATTGTTTCATTGGTGAACACCGTGTTTACTTGCTTCAGTGCCGGTGCTAGACTCATAATATGGTTCAATATTTCTTCGTAAAGCTCTTGAGGGGATCCACTCAAATAGACAATGACAGCGCCGTAAGTCTGGAATTTTAAATAGATCATATATATCACGCGATCGAATATTTTCACGTCGTTCTTAAAAAATATGAATTTCAAAAATTTCAATTTACCGAAATGATTAAACCTCTGGTCCTGACCAGATGCAGAATCATTAACTCAGTTCCTTGTGGATTAGGACGTGTCTGCATAAATAACGATAGTTTTTAAACTCTTTGGTTGCTTAATTTGTGACCGTCAGTTGCAATTTCCCGAGTTTTAAAAACATACTACTCTTACTATACATACGTTCTTGCTCTGAGTAATGACAAGCTTAGTTTCTGACGTGATGGCATCAATCATGTTTCGTGAAGCAAGTATTAACGCCTTGCTCTGTTCTCTTTCAATGATTCCTTGGAAAATTGATCTCCCCTCATCGTACTTCTGTAGGTATTCAGCTAGGATGATAAAAACTGTGTTGTTATCGGAAAAAATAGATAAGAAAAGAATCGATAATATTCCATGTATATAAAATGCTAGTAAATCACGATGGAATTAAATGTAACTTTTTTTTTAGTTTGACCATTATAGAGGCTAATTCGATATTAAAAATTCACAAGTGTTATGAAAACAAAAATAATAGAGGAAGTTCGAATCTCATTGATGAGGTTTTCCCTGTGTTGTTTTGTTAATTGACTATTTTTATATATTTTCCAAAGGAACGAACAAGGACTATATATAGCTAAAGAAGGAATTAATATATTGTTCATAATATTTTAAAAAATTTGTAGAGTGTCATTAATCAAATAAGGGCTGATAATGACAATTACCTCCGGCTCAGAGAATTAGTGATGTTTCGAAGCTTCCCTCCCTCAAGCACAGCCCGGTCCACTTCACCCAGAAAAATCTCGTTCTCCTTGGCATCGTAATCTTCTTTACATGTGTGTATCTTGCCATTCTCCACAACTGTTCCATCTGGGTGTTCCCATATTCGAACTGGACACTTACTCTTTTTCCGATATGCACAGCGATACTCCTTCACCTCTGCATCGTATGGTGAATTACGGTGGAAACGGAAATTGTTATATAAATATGCCCACGTACCCTTCCTTGCACCTCGCACTCTTGTAATCCGTTCTGACTGAAACTCATGAATTTAGGAGACAATCCTTCTTCTTTGTTGTATGAATTTAAAGACGATGCGCGCATATGGAATTGTAGTCGGTTACCGCACGGAAAAATTTAGAGGGAGCACATGATGTAATCCGATAATACAAACAATTGTGTTGATGTATCAGTGCGATTCTCTCTATTCAGCTGTAATCTTAAATCTTAATAGTGGACACAAATTATCTTTGGTATGACCGAGTCGAATTTTTCTATGCTGCCCGAGAATTTTTTCCCTACTGTTTTCGACCTCGATATAAAGTCAATTACACGTCAATATTCGGGTCTACCGGGGAGAAAAACACAATCCAAATCAAAAAACATCTCGACCTACAAATTGTATAAAAACGATTGAATACTTTCATTACAATTAACTGTTTTATCAGGAGGCCGAAATCGCAATCCAGATATTGTAAGAGGGAAACCACTTAAAAATGACACGGACAGAGAAGTGTTCTGAAAAATGTTTTAGTTTCTCAGCAATCCAGTAATGAATTGGTAAAATAAGTGAAGCCATTTTTCGATACTGGTCTCTTACTGTTATTTTCCTTACCATTTTCCATGCAAATTTTCAATCCATGTATTTATCCTGCATTCCTTTTTTTAATGTTTAAATCATTAAAAATGTTAAAACATTGAACTCACCCGCGCGCGTGTCTGTATACAAGTCGTGACTGACGAAACGAGTGTACCACTGGGGGTGAGTGTGACCGTGATTGCCGGATTATGGTGGGGTTGAGGTCGCCGAGAAGGGGGGAGTGCTTCCACCGCAAAACAACTTGTTAGTGCCCCCCGCCAAATTTTAATATGCATTTTTTAGTTGACACTCATAGATAAATTTTCGATTCAAAACTTAATTGACAAAAAAGCTTACTCGTAACACTCAGTAGTTGAATATATCATTCCAAATGCCATAACCAATAAAAATGAGGAAAAATGCGCGTATTCCGCAAGCGAGATGTTCAGGACACGGAGAGAAAAGTTGAATAAAAAGTACCAAACTAATCATGTAAGTGGAGCGAGATTGCCGTTTAGATTTGTTTGACTCAATATTGAAGAAAATTCCCCTCAAGCTTCCCTGCGGACAACCAAATATGTCAAATTTTGCAGGAAAATCAATCGTGCTGTACACTCGGGATTTTTAGCCCGCAAAACTTGACTATTTCATTTGTTTGCAACGAAGCGATCGGGGAATATTCCGATAATTTTGAAAGTCTTGGGATATTATAACTGATAATTTGAAGATCTTGGAGTATTACAAATAAATATTTCTCTCCGTTCGCGTAGTTAGTATGAAAGGACAGCGTTTTTATTTTGTTGAGAATTCTCATACCTAGATTTTTAGAATTTGAAATCTGCAACTTGCATCCGGATAAAATGTAGAGAAAAAAGGATGAATTAAAAAAAAATGGATGAAATTTACTAAGAAAAAAATGATTATTTTTATAGGTAAAAATATTCCGAAATTGATCTAAATAAAGAATGAAATTTTGCACATGAATACATTTATAAATAACGCCTGGAAAATCAAGTAGCAAGGCAGTAAAACGGTTTAAGGCGTTGCGGATTCGAGGCAGTTTTCAAGTTGGCCGCTACGCTAATCGACAGTCTTAGAGTCTGGAATGCAAATCGGGGAGGGGCTGAGCAAAAATATTGATACCTAAAACTAAGCGTAATAGTATTTTGCCCGCAAACCTAAGCAATTCCGATTAGAGAGGAAAATATGTCAACGATGCAAGTTCCGAATTTCAGTTTCTGAAATTTGGAACGAGAAGCCTTTAAATTGCATCAGAGAAATTCTAAAGTTTTGAAAAATATTGAAAACAAGTAGAAAAATTTAGGTAAATTTTGGAATTTTGTCGATAAAAATACTGCCATATGATGTTGAAATTTAGCATTTTTTCAAAAATAAATTTCATCCTCATGAATTGATAAATTTTTCGGATTTTTCTGTGTAAAAATTAAAAATTGAAATGGAAAAATTGTATTAAAATTCTATACGTGATGAAGTTTCTGAATGTCCAGTGGGGAATTTGAAATAATGAGAAAACCATAAAACAATTCTGTCACAATTCTCACCATTGCCACGCAATATTCAAGGATCCCTAAACACGTCAGTAGATTATAAAATCATCACAACCTTTGAGTCCTTACGAAAAAGGAGTGTAATGTTCCTAGAACTGAGGAGTGAATGAATTTTTTAGTTTGTTTCTTCTCCATTCTATTGTGGACCCTCCGCTGCACGGCATCTAGACTTTTTTTGCGGGGTGCTTCGGTCTTCATGTAAGATAGTCCAGTCGGAGCGCGTCGGAAAAAGAGTTTTGTTGTCGATTTTTCGTCATAAGTTAACGATTTCGATGATTTTTTTTTAATGCTCAGAATAACGCGTAGATCAAATGTGATTAAGTCCCAAGGTGTGGTTTTTGATTATTAACAAAATGCCCCTTGGAGTGGTCACTTTGGATTAAAATATCTCGGAAACTATTGAGAAGTGATCGAAACATGCAGCGGTAAAGATTTAGATAATTTCGAGACGAATAGAATGGTTTTTGACTCATGTCTCTATCACTAATAGTTTTCGAGATATTACCATTTATTTGTCGAGACGCGCGCAGCACCACGCGCTCCGTCTTAAGCAAATGGCTGTAACTCAGCCAAAAATCGATATTTCAACTTTTTTTTTTAAATTCAAGACTTTATGTGATTGTCACGCTCTGAGATTTTTTTTCGATTTTTCACGTCATTTTTCACCAAGTAATGGATGAAAACTGACGTATTTTCTATGTTTGTCTAAAAAAAATTTTTTTATGACAATAAAAAAATTCTTTTTTATACATTGGTTAATAAAGTGTTGTATTATCAAGAATCATTAAGAAAATAGGGTAATTTTCCTTGCAATTACCAAAGCAAGTTCGATTTTTCTCTTGGTCTTATGGCAATAGGAGCAACAGAGATAGTACGATACGACGCCATACGCCGAAAGGAAGAGTGTCGCACACGTGTTGACTATTCGAGCTAAAGGGCTGCTTCGGGGAAAAGTGTACAAAAAATGGGGAATTTCTTTGTTTGAAAATTTCCCTCCGATATAAAAAAAAAACGTCTTTGCCGAAATTTCCTCTGAACGTTATAATGATTTTCTCGGGGTTACAGAGATTTCTTTTTCTTAAGTATTTCTAATATTATTTATAACTTTGTTTGCGGGTCTATAAGCCAAAAGTCTCGAATATTCAAAAATTATTTTTCTCGTTTCGAAAATATTCCATTAAATATATATCTTTCTCAAAAATTATTATAGAAATTTCCTTAAAAAAAAATGTTGCGAGGCAATACATTTGGTTATAATTTTGCATTACACTCGTGCTGTAAAGGTCCATTCCTTACTAAAAAAAACTCCAGTTCATGAAGATTTCAACACATCGAGAGATTCAATACGCGTGTTGTTTTTCTGCGTTACGGTGCTGCATTCAAGGCAACGAGGGCGAGGGAAACCACTTAAAAATGACCCGACCAGAAAAGTGTTTTTGAGAAGTATTTTGAAAATTGTTTTAGGAAATGTTCTCAAACAATTTTGTCACAATTCTCACCATTGCCACGCAATATCCAAGTATCCCTAAACGCGTCAGTAAATAATAAAATCATCACAATATTTGAGTCCTTACGAGAAAGCAGTGGAATGTTCTTGGAACTGAGGAGTGAATGAACGTTTTAGTTTGTTTTTTCTCCATTCTATTGTGGACCCTCCGCTGCGCGGCATGTAAACTTTTTTTGCGGGGTTCTTCGGTCTTCATGTAAGACGGCGAGTGTAAACACGGAAGGAAATGACTCACTCTTATAATGCTGACAATATCGGATCGTTTTTTTCTACAGGTAGTTTTTTCTCGTCTATAATAATTATATATATTGTTCGTTTTGTAATTCATATTTTCAAGAATATTTAGTAATAATCGTGATCATGAATTGGATATAATTTTCATGAGTTATGAAATGAAAATGACATTAATGTAATTTTTCAATTTATGTACCGGTCAATAAAAAACCAAGAAATATACAACGTGGTTTCGCGCTCAAGGAATATGTTTTGAAATTCAGTATGACTAATTAGTTGAAGGCAACATTATGTAAAGTACGTAAATAAAGGAATCGGAAAATGTCATGCATGGAAAAAGAACTGAAAATTTTACGTATAACCCTCCAGATGATCTCATTTTTCGCCCATTGTAAGGAAATTTTTTTCTTTGCATATTC